ATTTTACATGTTAACCGCTAATCTAAACAGCTAATTTTACCTAACATCTTTTTACAAACCGCTGATACAATCTGCTGGTCAAACCCGCTATTTGCTAACCGCTAATACAATCCGCAAACACTAACCGCTAACCGCTAATTGCCAAACAAGGCCATAATCCGCTAACGCTAACCGCTAATTGCTGATTGTCAAACAAGGACATTGCGATGTAATTCTCACTTCAATTTGTTGTGTGATTTGAATACTCTCTTCGTCAACAAATCCCTCAAGTAGTTAATATGATTGGCTTTATTAATTATAATTTTTTAATTTTTTCATGGTATTAATAAAATACTTGGTAAATAAATATATAGCATTATTTTGTATTTTAACTTTGATATTTAATTAAAAAATAGTGCACAAAAAAGATAATAGACAACGTAGTGAATATAAGCAATTGATGAATTTGAATGTAAAGAATTTTTACATTGGAAAAATATAAAGACAATATAACTAATAAAATTATTTCTCTTAATTAATTTATTGATAATGAATAATTTTTTTTTTAATAAAGACATTGTAGGGACAATGTAGCAATATAATCAATTGATGAATTTGAATGTAAAGAATTTTAATATTTGAGAAAAATAAAGACAATATAACTAATGCAATTATTTCTCTTATTTAATTTATTGATAATGAATATTTTTTTTAATAAAGACATTGTAGACACATAATTCTAAATTAAAGAAATGCATATGTATTTTTTTTTTGTAGCTACTAAATTATTATTTAATTTAATAAGAGTAAAATAGAGTACTAATTATGCCAACTTTGATTTGGATGAGGTTCGAACCTAAGACCTTTCTTATTGAAAAGTGAGTTAACGGTGAACTAACAGAAGTTAACGGAAAAGATAATATTTAACGGAAAAGTTAACGGATAATAATATTCCTTAAGGATAAATTAGGAAATCTTAAGGAAAAATTAAAATCTGATCAATCTGAGCCATTCATCTGATTAAAAAATTTGACCGCCATTTTTTCTACCCATTATAGGCTTAACTCTCTTGGGCTCTTATTAGTATACTAGTTTTTTACGCGCATTGCGCGATTGGGATAATGCCCAATGTTTTTTTTTAAATAAGTACTTTAAAGTATATTAAGACAAGATTATATTGAAATTGTTCATGCATAGATAATTGAAGGTTGAATTTGCGTATTTAAATAGGTAATTCTTCTCCCAAAGGTTGAGTCCCCAACCCCAAGGGCCCCCCACACTCCGACCCGACAGAGCATTGTGAGAAGTTGTAAATCACAGTGACTCAATGGTTCAGCAGACAGGACCAAATGCCGGTGCGAACAAGGAATCTACCCACTTTGGACATAATTCCCGCACTGCCGCCGCCGAGGTTCAAACCTTGGTCTCTTCTCCCAAATACTGTCCACTAAACCATTGAGCTAAGCCCGTGCGGGTTAAATAGGTAATTCTAAGTTTACAAATGCAAGATAATATAGTCAAGATTGATTATAATTGTCAATAAAATAATTGTATAGGTATGGTTGAAACCAAATACGGGACATAATTAAGGGAGAACAAATAAAAATTAGGGCATAAAATATTAAATATATACTAATATTGTTTGAGGAGATTTTGACATTAGGATTTGTGGCTAAAGTTCTATTAAGATTTTAATATTAGAATTAGATTAATGGTGTAATTATAATTCTATATTAGACGTTAATATTAGAATTAGACTAACGGTGAATTAACGGTATTTAACGAAAAAGTTAAATGGATAATCATATAATTAAGGATAAATTAGAAAAACTTTAAAAAAAATTAAAACTTTAATTATAATCTCTCAAGTAGTTAATATGGTTAGCTTTATTAATTATATTTTTTTTTAATTTTTTCATGGTATTAATAAAATACTTGGTAAATAAATATATAGCATTATTTTGTATTATAACTTAGATATTTAATTAGAAAAATAGTGCACAAAAAAGATAATAGACAATGTAGTGAATATAATCAATTGATGAATTTGAATGTAAAAATTTTTACATTTGAGAAAAATAAAGACAATATAACTAATGAAAATATTTCTCTTAATTAATTTATTGATAATGAATAATTTTTTTTCACTGAATTAAGACATTGTAAGGACAATGTAGCGAATATAATCAATTAATAAATTTGAATATAAATAATTTTTATATTGTAGAAAAATAAAGACAATATAACTAATACAATTATTTATCTTATTTAATTTATTGATAATGAATAATTTTTTTTTGAATAAAGGCATTGTGGACACATAATTCTAAATTAAAGAAATGCATATCCATAATTTTTTGTTGTAGCTACTAAATTATTATTTATATATAATTTAATAAGGGTAAAATAGAGTACTAATTATGCCAACTTTGATTGGGATGAGGTTCGAACCTAAGACTTTTTTTTTTTATTGAAATCAATGAGTAAGTTAACGGTGAACTAACGGCAATTCTTAAAATTTTAACGGAATTAGTAATGGTGTGTGGGTATTTTAGGAAATTTTAGTGTAAAATTTAAATCTTATCAATCTTTTAATTAATCTGAGTCATTCATTTGATTAAAATCTGTGACCGCCATTTTTTCTACCCATTATAGGTCTAACTCTCTTGGGCTCTTATTAGTATAGTAGATAGTAGATAGTAGATAGTAGATAGTAGATAGTAGATAGTATAGTAGATAGTAGATATAAATTGAACAATTCAAAACATATTACGTTAAGAATTAATCAAATAACGTTAGATAAAATCATGTTTAATGAATAAAAAGTTTTTTGATGAGTAATTACAGTCAAGTTAGTCAGATTATTAACTTGGATACCACAAAGTTACAAATTTAACTTTCAGTGGAAACGATTTATTGACTTTCTCAATTTAAGAAGATTAGATATATGCAACCTAAGAGCGACCCCTTTTAATTCTTTGACAACTAAATTACAAATATATTCTTAAATAATGACTACAAATTTCCTTTTACACTAAAAAAAATTAATTAAAGTATAACATTAATTAGTATATATACCAACTTTTACTAGAGTACTAGAATATTCCTTGAAAGCATCTGAAGAATATGTGTATGCACTCTATTACAAGAGCTAAGGACTAGGATAGGTACTAAAAAAAGTCCGATGTAAGCAGACATGGACCACCTGGTCTAAATGGTTTCCATGTCATGGATGATGTGGTACACTGCACTTGCTTCAACAATCTACATACCTTCCAGCATGTCAGTTTTCCATTGCCCTACCCACTCAACTTTATTGGCGTGTCTCAAATTTAACATTATTTTTTGACAACTAGGCTTACAGCCTGCATAACAATTTCAATTTACCCAGCTCTCACACTCATCTCTTTAAAAGGATGGGTGTTTCCAAGCAATTTCTATTCCTCCAGAACTCAAAATGGTTATTGCCTCTATCCTATAGTTTTAATGGAAGAGATATATGGTACAATGTGCCTCAATAGCCTACAAATTCATCATATCAATTATGCTTGTGCATTGATGTCCACAACAGGGTCAATTCACACCCCTCGCTCTCTCGATCGGAATTTAACCTTGCACCCTATAATTACCAATAAGATAATAGCTAGCAAAGCAGAGCTGTCAACTATATGAATCGATTAACCAGTTAAATTATGCTCTAAAATCATTCTCAATTCTCATAGTAATCTTATTAAAATGGTGGGTTTTGTCAAGCTAACTTCTATTCCCCCAAAAGTCAAAGTGCTTAATAGCTTATTGCCTTTAACTTATAGTTTTGATCAAAGTGGTAAATGTCTCTCAACAGCTTACAAATTTCTCAATTGTGATTATACATTGATATGCACAACACAACCAATCCATATCTCTCTCGTCATCTCGTGATAAGAATCAAACCCTACACCTTACAACTATCAACACGTACAATAAAATAGAATTGTCAACTATATATTTAAATTGGTCAACCAGTTAAGTTATGCTCTAAACATGTTCTCAACTCTCATAGTGATCTGTTTATAAGGATGGGTGTTTCTATGCAATTCCAATCCCCCCTTCCCCCCAAGAAGTCAAAGTGTTTATTTCCTCTGTTCTAGTCTAATAAACATGTGTAAAGAATCAGCAGCAGCAGACCCTGCAATGCAGAAGTACCTAACTAATCCTCAAATTCATTTCTGCAGCATCCAAATTCTTACCAACATTTGTTTAGCAAAGTAGAAAAATCAAACATTTGGTTTCATGAACAACCCACAAATTTGAAATAGTTAAGGAATTTAGAAGTAAAAGCAATTGTGGTTTTTCTTAATCTTTATTCACATGGAACAATAACTAGGCAGAATTTTCTTACTGCAAAAATTCAGTCTAAACATGTGAAATTTTTGCCATTAGAATCAGCAGACAAAGAAAAGTGTTGCAAGAATAAATTATTATCCTTGACCTTGTTAGAATTACTATTTATGCCCCTGAATTCAGATAAGAATAAATGTTCATGTTTTGACATTTTGACACTTGACATGAAAAAACCTCACCTGTAACCTGTTGTAAACAAAATATACTATAAAATATTCAAACATCAATTGTCAGAATTAAACGCTTACCACTATATAATTTTATTTTCTTATACTTACGTAACAGTTAGTGCCACAGCGCCACAGTCCGATGGAAGCCCAACATCTTGGAGCTAGAGCTTCCCAGGCTAGAGTTTTGGGCCCTTAGCCTATCTAGATTGGAGACTGGACTCCCCAAGTTAGCGGAAGTGTGGATGATAAATCCCTTGTGTGCAAAGTCAAGGATGAACAAGGATTGATTGGGAGATTGCTTGGACGAGTGGACGACTTGCGATTTTCCTCTTTTAATCAGCCTCGGCCCTGGACAAGGACAGGCTAGGCCTTTGCCTAGGACCCATCTCAAAATGATAGGACCGGCCCTACCTCTCATGACTCTTGGGCGGGGTCAGATAATATAAAATATGCAGGTCAGAAAGCAGCTTCCTATACCTATGCTATTTGAAGCAAGTAGGCAGGTCTAAGAAGGTATGCTGGGGCATAAGAAAGAACCATCCATCCATCCAATACCTTCAAAGTTTTCAAATGGAACTTGAACTGAATTTCAAAGTCATACCTTTCACCAAATCGGAGGCATTGGGTTCACTATAAATACTCCACTTCCATGCATTCCCAACTTAATTAATTACCTTTCCTCAATCCTTCTTTCCTTAATTAGCTTCCTTCAATGGCAGTTCTTCATCAGTGTCTTCTTGCAGTTCTTATTGGGACTTTCCTTGTGATTCAATCTCCAGGAGACGCTGCAACGTGTAGTGATTGTTTCATTCAGTCTCAAGCAACGTACTATCCAAATTCTGATGACAATGGCACAGATAGTAAGAGTCTCTGAACAATTCAATTCGCAGTTATGAGTGATGGTTTCATCACTTTCATGTTAAATGTGTTCTCTAAAATGCTCTTTAATTATATTTATGCAGGTGGGCACTGTGGATTTGGTACATTTGGAGCAACAATGAATGGTGGAGATGTATCAGCAGCATCAAATCTTTACCGTGATGGCCTAGGATGTGGTGCTTGCTACCAGGTAATTTAGTAAACTAATTAAGAAACAAAAGTATCTATATATGTTTAGGCTAGACTAATTCTATGTTTTCCGAACGGGTGAGCGCAAAGCGGATTTAAGGTGAATCTGTATTTAACCCGTTAAAGGTGAATTTAAAAAATCTCATCAGCATCTGCTAGGGGTGTGGATCTAATCCAATCCGATGCACTATTAATAGATTTGGTGGATTGGATGTGGATCGAATGACGGATTTTATATTTGGGTTGTACCTGTGGTAGGGCAGTCGGTAGTGGGCTACTAGGTGTGTACGCGCGCACACACACACATATATATATACACACACATCATTTTGGTATCCAATAGCGGAGCAGATTGGATATAGTAGATTTTGAGAAGTCACATCCGCATCCAATCTACTAGTAGTGAATTTATACTAAATTTAGTGAAGCAGATTGGATATAGTGGATTTTGAGAAGTCACATCAGCATTCAATCCACTAGTAGTGAATTTATACTAAATAGATCTACATTCCATCCACTTTAAGTGGATAGGGATTGAATAGGAACGAATTTGGCAATTCCTTGCTCACCCTTACCAACATTTCATATATATCTAAGTATCTAACCAAGATCATTTCATATATATTTCACTAGGTGAGATGCACCAACAGCTTGTATTGTTCTGATAAAGGCGTGACAGCAGTAATAACTGACAGTGGAGGAAGTGGTGGTGACTTCATTCTAAGCAGCGGCGCCTTTGGTCGGATGGCTCAGACAAAAGACGCTGCTCGGTCTCTATTATCACAAGGAGTTGTTGACATTGAATATAGAAGGTACGTATAAATAGTACGTTTACTAACTGGAAAATTGAAAGAAAAAAAAAAAAAAAGTATACTTTTATAGAAAACTAAAGAATTTTTTTTGTTTTTTTATTAGACATGAAGTTTGATATATGTGTTGGTGATATGTGAAACAGGGTTCCCTGCAGCTATCCAGGCAAAAATATAACATTGAAGATACATGATAAAAGTGGGAACCCTCATTACCTAGCTTTTGTAATAATGTATGAGCAAGGACAAAAGGATATTACTGCAGTACTACTGTGTGAGGTATGTACTTATTAATTTCGAGTAGCTTTAAGTGGCTTGCACTATATATCATGCTAGCCCGTTCTTCTTACTAAACTTATTAATTTCGAGCTTATTAGACTATTTTTTATCATACTAAATATCTCAACTCTAACTTTATAATTTTTCGATTTTATCGGGCCAACCCATCAATTTTGGTCTTAACTTTAAAATTTTTCGATCTCATCCTGTCAGTCCATCGATTTCGGACTAAGATTGAGATCCCTACATTAAATTCAGTAATATCATAGTTAAGACATTAGTTAACATTCACATATATAATCTTGCAATATGCAGACACAAAACTTGCAGTGCAAGTTAATGGATCGGACATATGGATCAGTGTGGACAACCAACTCACCCCCAAGTGGAGCCTTGCAAGTAAGGATGCTATTTAGTGGTGAGGATGGAGATGATGAGACATGGGTAGTTGCTCCAAACAACATTCCAGAAAACTGGAAGCCTGGTGACACATATGATTCAGGAGTGCAAGTTTAATTAACTAACAAAATCTCCAGACTTAAGCGGTGTTTGACAAGTCCAGACTTAAGCGGTGTTTGACAAATGGTTGTTGGCTAATAGCTTAATTTTGTTCTTTAATTGCATTTCATTTATATTATATTGTCATCATTAAATAAAGCTCATTGGCTATGTGTAGTGTAAGTTCTAAATTTCCATCACTATCAGTTCATCATTTTTTTTTTGTTTCTCTAAATGTTGTAGGGTAGGCTATGCTAGGTAGGAAGTACTTTATTATAATTGTTGTATACGAGAATGGTTGGCAAATTAATTAAAGATTTATTATGATTGGAGTTAAATGAATATTTCTAGTCCTTTTATATTCACCTTGTGATATCTCCAAGTCAATATAAGCCTTCTATAATAATTTTGACATGTTTAGTACAGTGCAAGTTGGTCAGTTGCAAACTCGAAAATAGCCATGACTGGCTCTCTTCATTTAAAGACTTCTCCATCTATGCATATTTAGGCCTTGTTTGACAATTAATGGTTAGCAATTTGTGTTAGCCGATAGCGGATTGTATTAATAGGTTTAACTAGCGGATTATATTAGCGGTCGTTTATAAAAAAATGTTTGCTAAAATTAATATTTTAATGTTAGCTGTTAATTGGTAAAAGACACAAAAGGGCATTCATAATAAAGTAGTAGTAGTAATACATGGTATTGTGGCTATGGAGACTCATGCAAGTTTATCCCTGCATCCACCTAATTTGTACTAAGCTTTTGAGAGTGAATTGGCTTTAATTTGAGAACTTTTCATTGTTTCTTCCATGGGAAAGCTTTCCAACCAATGAACATCTATCAAAATACCCATCCACTTTGAGGCGGGTGGAGTTGAGAAGTGGATATAGCCACCTAGACCTATATTTGAAGTGACAAGAGAAATTTGCAGTCACTAATCGTGAGTGTACATTAGGTAAATTCCACCTTGTAACCTTAGCGGGCAAAAGACTACAAGGAGGTAAACTAACATAGGTTTCCCATAGCAGATCGGCGATTCAAACTAAGAAGATTGGGATTTAAACTGGTGAACGTGTGGTTACACTTTCGACCTATTATTATCCCTAATTTGTGATAGATTGTTGTATGAGGTTCTTCCTGCATTCCAGTTTCCACCATGCTGGAATCACCACGACAATGCACAAAATCAATGAATTTTGAGGAAACAACTAAAGCACCGAAAATTTGGAGCTAAAAAACTGAAGATAAAGGCATACACCGTATCAAATTGTTTGATGCAGTCAAGATAGAAAATTTTGAATAGCAAAGGAAATATTGTTGGAAAAAATAGCATTAAAATGGCATAAAATGACATGTTAAGTGGCTATTTTGTGGTACAATTATTAGTGGGGTCCACTTCCGATTTGGGTCGGGTCAAAGTGGATTCGGATTCTTCGTAATGAGACGAAGAGATTGATATATTGTACGCTCAAAACGGATAATGGGTGAATGAGATATTGTTTCTCAAAGTAGACCCATTGAGTTGGAAAAATGAAGGGAAAAAGTGAGGATTTTTCCCACATTGGTTTGGAAAGAGGATTTGCCCCCCTTTTTATACAAGAGCTCTTTTGGAGCTTGTAGAATTGTATAGCATAGAGGCTCTCTCGCGTGAGGGTGAAAATCAAATTCAAACTAGAAATGAGATCAAAAAGGTTTTGGCCCGCCTTGCGGGCTAAGTTATGCCAATTACGGTATGGCCACACCAGAGTGCGCTAGTCATGAAGTCGCACGAGAGTTCAGTCTCGCGAAACTCTCGTGCGATAGTCATGAAGTCGCTAAGTTATGCCAATTACGGTATGGCCACACCAGAGTGCGCTAGTCATGAAGTCGCACGAGAGTTCAGTCTCGCGAAACTCTCGTGCGATAGTCATGAAGTCGCACGAGAGTTCAGTCTCGCGTTTACGGTATGGCCACACCAGAGTGCGCTAGTCATGAAGTCGCACAAGAGTTCAGTCTCGTGTGCACTGACGCAAGGCCAAGTTATGCCAATTACGGTATGGCCACACCAGAGTGCGCTAGTCATGAAGTCGCACGAGAGTTCAGTTTCGTGTGCACTGACGCAAGGCCAAGTTATGCCAATTACGGTATGGCCACACCAGAGTGCGCTAGTCATGAAGTCACACGAGAGTTCAGTCTCGTGTACACTGACGCATGAAAGTGGCTGCCTTGGACGAAAGTAACCGAGCTGAAACAGCGCGAACCATTCGTTGGTTAACTCTCGTGCGCTAGTCATGAAGTCGCACGAGAGTTCAGTCTCGTGTACACTGACGCACGAAAGTGGCTGCCTTGGACGAAAGTAACCGAGCTGAAACAGCGCGAACCATTCGTTGGTTCTGGACTGTTACAGAATTAATATTGTATTAATTCTAGTTTTGAATTTTTAATTAAAACTCAAATAATGGTGGCTGTTTCGGGTGTTACAAATCGTGCATTAAATGCCAGAATTAAATGCTATTGATTCTTCACCTCCTATATAAGAAGGGAGTGGGACAGCAGATTTTTTAGACACACGGTGAAGTGGTGACGGACTTAGAACAACACACACAACACAGAAAATATTGTTTTCCCAGCTCCAAAATCTCTGCTCCTACTCCATTCTTGAAGTTGTGTTCTGCCCGTGCTCTTGTTCGCCGGGTTCGCTCGTTTGAGTGCTCAAACGTCGAACCGTTGTACATTTTATTCTGGGAAACCTAGACCACAACGCTCCTAGCACTTTTTGGGAGGTGGCAAATAAGGTTTTAAGGAAAGAAAGACACCTCGCCTAACTCGTACTTTCTTCTTTCTTCCTTCTCCTTCTTTCTTGTTTTGGATTATACTCTAAACAAAAATCCTTTCTACTTTCTTGTTGATTGGAGTTATAATATGAGGATTATAAGTTCCATTTTTGGTTGATATATATTGGTATATCTTTTCGTAGATATATATGTATATATAACTTTTGGATCCGTTTTATATATATTTGTGTGTATATATATATATATTTCAGATATATATCGAATAGTTTTATATATTTTCGTGTGTATTATATAAATACTATTTTGGGATTTTAAATCGATTTTGGTTCATTATCACCAACAAATATGATACTGGTTTTGGACTGTATGAACCATTTTAAAATGTAGCAATTTATAATTTTATTATTCAAGTCTTAGGAATATAATCACATTTAAATCAATCTTAAATTAAAAATATGTTTTTTTTTATTCCTATGTGGAAGACAAGATCAGACAAAGAATTGGTTCGTGGAGTAAAAAGTTGCTCACTCAGGCTAGTAAGGAGGTACTCTTGAAAAGTGTGGCCCAATTTATGCCAACCTTTTCCATGAGTGTATTTTTGCTACCTGAGACGGTTTGCACATCTATTGAGAGAACCATGAATAGGTATTGGTGGGGAACTGGTGCTGAAAGGAAGATACATTGGAAAGCTTAGGATAAATTATACATCCCCAAGAAGTATGGGGGTTTGGGATTTAAAGATCTACGAGCTTTTAATTTGGCTATGCTGGGAAAACAGGCATGGCGTTTCCTTACGAATCCCAGTACTTTAGCAGCAAGAATATATAAGGCCAGGTATTATCCGAATACTTCTTTTATTGATGCCACTATAGGGAATTGTCCGAGTTTTTGCTGGAGAAGTATAATGGTTGCACATGGAATGGTTTGTTCGGGGGTAAGAAGGCGAATTGGGAATGGGGAAAAACCATTGATATGGGGTCATCCCTAGCTACCAGATAATCCCAGTCCGTTGGTCCAAACAATAATGCCACAAGAATTACGAGATGCCCATGTAGCAGGTTTGATTGACCAGCAAACTAATACCTGGGACCCTCATATTTTAGCAGATTTATTTATCCCTGAGGATGTGGCTCGTATTTCTATGATTCCTGTTAGCCCATATTATGAAGACACATGGTATTTGAAGGGAGAGACAAATGGGGTATACTCAGATAAGAATGCTTATAGGCAAATTAAGGGGGATTATGAACATAACCCAGGTGCTTTTGATAAATGGGTTACTTTGTGGAAACTAAAGGTGTCACCCAAATGGAAAACCTTCTTGTGGAGAGCAGTTTGTGATATCCTCCCTACTACAGATAATTTAATTATAAGACGAGTTGAGGTTGAGCCGGTTTGCCCAATGTGTCGAATGGTGCAGGAAAATGCCATGCATGCGTTAATCTTGTGTGATTACTCAAAATTAATATGGAATATGTCAGGGTTGCCTGTTACCAATATAATTACACATTCGTTATCAACATGGCTTATGGGAATTTTTAATGTCTTGACAGAGGATCAATGTGGTCTAGCTGCAGCTGTGCTATACAGTATTTGGAATGCCCGCAATGTTGTGGTATGGGAGCGTGCTCTACCACGGCCGAACTAGACATGGCAGCGGGCGGTGGCAGCCATGCACGCCTACCAGCGATCACGTCCACCGGCATGCACACCGTCGCCTACCGTGATGACCGTAGCAAGTGGCAGCGAGACTCCACGCTGCTACGTCGATGCAGGATACAGACCAGACACCGGAGAAGCAACGTATGGAGTGGTACTCCTCTCTCACCACGACGTCTTTGTTGTTGCAACAAGTGGAAAGCTCTCGGGGGCTTTCTCGGCTATTATGGCCGAGGCACTAGCATGCAAAGAGGCACTATCTTGGCTCAAGGATCGGGATATCATGGAGGTGGATATTTTAACAGATTGCTTGGAATTACGGAATACTCTACACTCAAGCCCCACGGCTAACTACTCTTACCTTGGGATCGTTGTGGACCAATGTAGGACAGCTATATCGTTATTTACGAAGTGTTCTTTAAGTTGTGTTTCTAGAACTCTTAATTTTCATGCTCATACTTTAGCTTCGTTAGCTTTCGATCAGGATCAATCTATGTACTGGGACTCTGTCCCTCCTGACTCTATCATTCAGTTTATTCATTAATATACCACTATTAAAACTTTCAAAAAAATGAAAAATAATTTTTGAGATCTTTATATGTGTGCTTGGTTCACATAAAAAAAAATTATTTAATGCGATAAAAATTGAATTATAAAATTATTTCTAGCTATTTTATGTTCTCAAAAACCAAATACTAATGTATAATATTTGGATAATGTGAGATTTTCATTTTCCAAGGTGCATAATCTAAATTAAACGTACGTTAGATTTGAGAAAATATTTTTAGAGTCCTTTCTTTAGGAGCATCCACAATAAGTGACTTTTTGTTGATTTTTGCAGCCTTTTTTGTCACATAGAAAAGAGAGAGGGAGTTAGGTTTCTCTGTAAAGACCCAAATTTTTCAGAACTGTGGATCCTACCAAATCTGTTAAGGCAGCCTCCTTCTCGGGTGAGGCACACAACAGGGGCAAATTATGATGTGCATCCGTATGCACCATGCATGGTGCATACGGATGCAAAACGCGCGTCCTACTTAAAAAATAAAAATCAATTTCGATTCTCAGCAACAATATTATGTTATTCATTTTTTAATTCATTCATTCAGGATTTTTAGTTATGAAATTCTGGATGTATAGTTATGCAATTCTGGATGTATAGTTATGCAATTCTGGATGTGTAGTTATGACGTTATGGATGTGTAGTTATGCAATTCTGAATTTATAGTTATGAAATTATGGATGTGTAGTTATGCAATTCTGGATGTATAGTTATGCAATTCTGGATGTGTAGTTATGCAATTCTGGATTTATAGTTATAAAATTATGGATGTGTAGTTATGTAATTCTGGATGTATAGTTATGAAATTATGGATGTGATGAAATTATGAATGTGTAGTTATGAAATTATGAATTATTATTTTTTTTTAAAGTTAAACGTCAAAACGACATCGTTTTTGCATTCGTATGCACCATGCTTGGTGCATACGGATGCACAGCATAACGACTGCACAACAGGCGCCCAGGCCCCAGCCGGGCACGTGGACGTCACGCGCCATGCTGGGAAGCATAAATATAGTTTTATTTATTTATTTATTTATTTGTTTCAGGCTTTTTTTTTTTTCTTTTCCTCACATTTTCCTCCCTCATCTCTACTATTTTACACTTCAAAAATTGATCCAAAAAACTTCACTATTGAGGATGTCCTAAAGTAATTATAAATAAGTTGAAACTAGCAGTCTTTGAAGTGGCTAAAGAAGATGGGTATCGACTCAATCCTTGTTGAATATGATGTGTTATTTGTGATTAAGGACTTCAAAACTGCAACTGTGAATCCTCTTCTGATCTTGTTCTCGATGACATTAGAAAACTAGTTAATGATTTCTCTTGTATTAGTTATGTCTATGTTAAGCGTCCGCGAACATGACCGCTCATTTGATTGCTCGAGATGCCATTTTCTCTACTGATTGTAGGGAGTGATTTTCTACTCCTCTTGACTTTCTTTATGATGTTATCTCTTTGGAAGTGTATTAATGAAATGGTTGGTTGTTTGTTAAAAAAAAAAAAAAAAAAAAAAAAGGTGAAACTCTAATTTTAGGAAAAATAGCATTTTTTTCCCTGAGTTATATACTTAGCTTATAGCACTTTTCGCCTTGAATTATTTAAGTAGTTATTTTTTCCTGAAATGTTAAATGGACATATCTACCCTTGAACTAAATATAAATATTTCATTTATTTTTCTTCTCCAACAAATTATGACCACGATTTGGTTCAAACCGAACATACACTATAGCAACCAAACCGAAATATTTCAATTACAATTTAGAATCGCAACTTGATATTTAGAGTTTATTAAAATCACGAATCGGAACAGCCGGTTCATGTTCCAAATTGAAAAAAAAAAAAAATATTGTTGAATTTAGACTATTTTAAAAATAAAAAATAAAATTTTAAAATAAAGACAGTTCAAAATCGCGAACCGGATCCGGAATCGCAGGTTCGCGATTCTGGAGTCAGTTTTTTCGATTCATAATTTTAATAAACTGAAATCCAAATATTGGATTTTGGATCTGAATCATAACCGGAAATTTTCAATTCGATTGCTATAGGGTCCAGTTCAGTTCGAACCGAATTGTAGTCATCCCTACTTATAAGCAATAATTTGTTGGAGAAGAAAAATAAATAAAATGTTTACCTTAAGGGTAAAAATGTCAATTTAATATATCAGGGAGAAAAATTATCACTTTTAAAATAATTGAGAGGTGTAATGTGCTCACATAAATAATTCAGGAAAAAAATATGCTATAAACATATAATTCAAGGAAAAAAGGACCATTTTCCCTCTAATTTTATTTTTGTTTCAAAAAAAATGTATTAAAATTAAAAAAGGTCGATTTTTGTGGATTAACTTCCTATTATCTTTGAGCAAAGCCCTTCCCCGGGAAAGAGAGCGAGAACATCTGCTGCAGCCTGCAGGGTTTTTTCTCGGTGCCGATAAACCCTCGCCAAAATCCATAGCACAATCTTCCATAGCTCAAGCTTCAAGCTTTTCAAGGTCAGTATATATCTAATATATGCATACATATATATAGACCCACCATATACAGACCTCCCACCATCTGCCTTGTAGTTTGGTTGTCTTTAGTTCTTGTAAATTGAACTGAATCTTCAATGGAACCCAAGATTTTGATATCTCCACCAAAATTCACACCGTGTTATGGTGCTTTCCCTTTTTGTCTCTCGTATAAATCCTCACTGCTTCAAAAACCCAGACTTCCGTTAGCTGCCCAGCTCTCAGTAAGTCGACAAGAGCTAGAAAAGACATCATTTCTAGGAAAAAGCTTGGGTTTTGGAGGAAAGATTGAATCTTTGGGTAGCTTCAGGAAAACCCCCCGTTTGCCCATTTCTCCAATCAGAGCTGCTGTCAAAAGGAGGAAAGAGCTTCCCCTTGATAATGTAATTCAAAGGGAGAAGAAGCTTAAGCTGGTTTTGAAAATTAGGAAGCTTCTGATGAGCCAGCCCAACAGAGTCATGGCACTTAGAGAATTAGGGAAGTATAGGAAAGCATTGGGTCTCCAGGGAAATCGAAGATTCATTGCTTTGTTGAAGAAATTTCCTGCGGTGTTTGAGATAATGGAGGAAGGGGCTTATTCACTTAAGTTTAAGTTGACTCCGGAGGCTGAGAGGCTCTACTTAGAGGAACTGCAGGCTAGGAATGAGATGGAGGATTTGTTGGTTATCAAGTTGAGGAAACTGCTAATGATGTCTCTAGATAAACGGATTCTTTTGGAGAAGATTGCACATTTGAAGAGTGATTTGGGGCTTCCTTTAGAATTCCGCGACACAATTTGTCGTCGATACCCACAGTATTTCAAGGTGGTTGAAACTGGACGAGGGCCAGCATTAGAGTTGACTCATTGGGATCCGGAACTTGCTGTCTCTGCTGCAGAGCTTGCGGAAGAGGAAAAGAGGCAACGGGAGCTGGAAGAGAGGAATTTGATTATTGATAGAGTGCCAAGGTTCAATCGGATGAAGCTACCTAAGGGTCTTAGTCTTTCAAAGGGCGAGATGAGAAGAATATGTCAGTTCAGAGATATGCCCTATATTTCACCCTACTCTGACTTCTCTGAGATAAGGTCTGGCTCCCCTGAGAAAGAGAAGCATGGTTGTGGTGTTGTGCATGAGCTCTTGAGCCTCACAGTGGAAAAAAGAACTCTCGTTGATCATCTCACTCATTTTAGAGAGGAATTTAGATTTTCTCAGCAGTTGAGAGGGATGTTGATAAGGCACCCCGATATGTTTTATGTCTCTCTAAAAGGTACTAGGGACTCAGTTTTTCTTCGTGAAGCATATCATGATTCTCAATTAATAGAGAAAGATAGATTATTACTTATCAAGGAAAAGATGCGTTCCCTTGTTTCTGTTCAACGATTTGCATGGAGAGGCTTAGGGAAGAGTGATGCAGATAAACTAGATGGAACTAAGGCCAAAGATGAAGACAGTGGAGAGGAAGGTGAAGAGGGGTCAGATATTGATAATTTACTAAGTGATGGATTTGATGAAGATGGTGAGGATTATGATGAAAATGGTGAAGATTTTGAAGGTGATTGGAGCGATGAAGATGATGATTTACCCCCCGACTTCACTGATGATGATGAAATTACAAACCTAGAAAATGTTAAATCAAGCAGAAAGGTTGATGACCCAACGAAAAAGGATGAGAAGATTCTTGTACCTGTTTTCCCCGATGGCAGGCCAAGAGAACGCTGGTGATAACATATGGAAACTTGATATTATAATGTTTCATCTTTTGCCATTGGATGTCCAAAAAGCTAGTAATCCATTGAAAAGGATGTGGTTCAACTGTTCAAAAGCTGTGTGCTTTTGGGAGAACGTTATTTCTAAATGCAGTTTGCTTCTTGGAGACCATTATCAGATCGTACTGCCATAGTGGAGAGTGAAAGAAATTATTTGTTTTAAGCTTCACTTCAATTTTGTTGGACATGGTAACTCTTCTCCAATATTAAAGACTCTACTGGAGCTTTGTAGACCCGTTGATCTCCCAGCTTGTTTAGAGGATTCATTATGTTTCTTTGTCACATAAGACAACATAATCTTCATGGCTTATAGTTAGATTTGAGCTTTATGTTTGATGTTGGTTGAACTATATATATATATATATATATATATATATATATATATATATATATATATATATATATATATATATATATATATAAACCACTTTTAGATCTGTTTTACTTGTTGCACTAATGTTAATCCGCAAAACTAGTGTGCCATTCTTCCTGTGTTAATGATATATATTCTTCTGCTAGCTCATGGATTTAGTTTCTGATTGCTTGTGAGGAAAAAGTTTTGTTCGAGTAATATTTCTGCTATGTTTTCTTTTCCCCAGTAAATGATTTTGGTAAGGACATATGTTAACTTATTGCAAACCAGCTTGGTTGGCGTGAGTGGCCGTGCACTCTCGTCCCTTAAGAGAGGTTGGGAGTTCGAACCCTCTCTCGTATGGAAAAATCAATCTAGCCAGCACTTTGCCCCTTAATTGGGCCGGCCCGGTGTGAACATGGATTAGTCTGAGTATGGTACGGGCTTAAAGGTGCCTCCTACAGTTAGGGTCTGCTCAGGACACCTCGTGGTCTGACCAAAAAAAAAAGGGGACATATTGCAGAGTAATATGTCTCCACTCTTCTTATGAATGAACAAAAATATGGGCATTTGGGAGGTCTATGTAGAGAAATGAAACTAGCAAAACCAGCTTTAGTTTCATCATATCCCACTGTTATCTTGCTTGGCAAAAAGTCGAGAGGTTGGCTTCATAGATCAGGTACTTCAATTATCTTCTTAATTACCGTGAGTTTTCTGATTTTGATTGCCATTGAGTTCGCATTCTATGAAGTTAAATCGTAGATAGTATTCTTGAAATATGCTGGATTGATTGTTAATTACGGAGTATCGTTCTGTTAAGATGTGCTATTTGTTAAATGTCACTTTCTAGTTTCTACCTCCCAAGTAAGGCCTGGTGTTGAAGATGAGACGTTTCGAGTGATCGAATCTAGCAAAATAAAGAGTGAGTACCCTGCAACATACTTATATACCTATCTTTACTTGAGAATTTTGCTTCTTGATCTTCCGTTCTTGCTTCTTCTGGGCCAAGGGCATGAATTATATAGACTTGATTATATTTTGCAGCTCCTAGCCTCCTAATAAAGGAATTTTGCTTAGCATTGCATAGAACTGATTCCATCAAATATTTTTAGCTTCAAAAGCATTCTAGATCTTAACTTATTATGGTTTACTCGCCAATGGTATAATCTACTCTCAAATGTTTTTGCAGTGAGTTATCATATGCAAATGGTGGCTCAAGTTACCGAACCGTTGGCTCTCTGGCTACTGGTGTGATGGTTGTTAGGTTTGAACTTGGAAATGCATATCAATCAAATGTATTCCTAGAGAAACCCCAGGATTCGGGAAGCATTTATATCTAACTCGACTCTTCTTCTTTGCCAAATTCCAGATATATATCGGTGACCAGGGTTCCTGATGCAAGTTTTGAAGCTTGGCTTTCTGTTTTTGACAAACAGGCTGAAATCTCAGGTAAATGAGATTTTTCATGATCTATTATCCTTTTTGGAGGGTGTTAAAAGTCCCACATTGAAAAAAATAAGAGAATATATGGATTTATACGGCCATGAGTTAGACTGGCTAATTGTTTGGATTCAATCTTTTAGTGTGGTTTGGCCCTTGTGCATTAGTGATCTTGGTGCAATCTTAGATTATAACAGAATCCAATTGATATGAAGCGTTTTTAGGCCATTCATTAATGTTTGACTTCGGGTGATTTCCTGCTTGTGGATTGAAACAGCTCATTATTGTGTTGACATTCTGTATTGTGATTAGAATTGTATTCTTGATAGCAGCATTTTTCTCATCTGATTTCAACAACATAATTGCAAACGACCAGTGGAGGCAGGAATAGTTTGGAAGGAATGATTTAAAAAACTTTTAGTTGAAACAGAAAACATTCTTCAATTTATATCAGAACCAATTCAATTAAAAAAAGGTCATGAGAGAAGTAATTGGCTTATATGCATACATGAGGGGCGCGTTGAGCATCATATATATATATATATATATATATATATATATATATATATATATATATATATATATATATGTATGTATATGTATAATAAGTATGCAATCTAATCCTTCAATACATATGACTTAAATAGATGCTAATTTGATTATTAAAGATATTATTAAATGAAATTGAAAGTTGAGGACGAAAGTGACGGAATCTCGAGATTGTTTTGGTAATTTACTAATTTAAAAATAATAGGGGTGTTTGGTAAATAGATGTTAGCTGATTGGGTTAGTAAGTTTGACTAGTTGATAACATTAGCTGATTGTAGAAAGATGTTTGGGTTAAATTAGCAGATAGTTTGTTGATTGTAGAAAGATGTTTGGCAAATTAACAGATAGTTTTTTTTTAGGTTCGAACCTTACACCTCCCACTTAGGGGAGCAATTCGATACCAGTGGACTACAAGCCACTTGGTAAATTAGTAGATAGTTGATTACATACAAAATGACTTTATCAACAAGTTGACCGGAAAAAGGTGCTTTGAGCAGCTTTTTAAATTTTAGTGTTTTGAAGCAATAAGCTGTTACAAAAAATTAATTAATCAAACACTCATATTGATTGTTTAACCAAATCAAACAGCTAATAGTGATCAAATAAGCTAAAATTAGCTGATAGACTAACTATTTTATCAATCAGGCCATAATAATAATAATGGGATGGTTGAAGATTTGCATAATATGCTGCTTTATTCTTTATAGATTAGGGTTGACTTGTGATGTTGTTGGTGCCAAATCTATACTAATTTGGGATAAAAAGAATTTGGTTTTGACACTCATATCAAATGACAAAGACATTGAGGTCCCACTCCCACCATTTTCTTTCTCAACTTGGTTCCTCTTCTCACCTATAAATATGCTGCTAAAATTCACTTCTGAATCATATCCAACCAATCAAAAACTTCTTCTTGTATTGAAAATTTCTTAGGCAATGGTTGTTGGTCTCCCTCAAGGGCTTCTCTTCTCCTAGGTATTCATTCATTGTGCCACTAACATGCATTTTGAGTGAAGTTAGGGTGGGAAAGGAGCCACTTGAGGGGGACCCAACAAACGATGTCTTGCGTACGGATGGAATATTGGGTTTTGCCTTGGCATAATTCGGCTAATCGGTCCAATTCACAATATTTACGGATCAAATCTGAGTTGCGGTTTGTTTCACAATATTGGCCGATCAAATCTAGCTTAGCCGTCTAGATCTAGTAGCTCTAACCTATTAACATGCTTGTTTTATATCGACTTTGCATGAAATTGTAGAATTATACTTAAGGTATTTTTCCGCACCATCATCACTATATGTCTAAAGTTTTCATTGCCCACTACAAAATATAACACCACACAATTTTACTTTTATCGTAGTGAAATGCTTGGTATTGCATTTCCAAGACTACTTACATTCATTTATCACGTTAATATTCAAATAGAATTTTATATTGAATCTTTGATATCATGCATTACGTGTTGCGCAAAGTAAATGAACTTCTACATGCGACACAAATAGCCTTTGACAGGGGTGGACCTACAGTGGAGGCAGCTGTTCCCACTCACCCCACCTCCACCCCATATATAACCCTTGTATGTATATATGTATGTATATATAGTATAAGGTTTAATATAAGTAAAAGAAAGCAACTAATGTTAACAAGAAATAAGTTAGTCTAGATGGCAGAGCAAATATGTCTTCTTAAGGGAGGGTAGGGGTTCAAAATTCTCTTATAGCTTAAATGTATATTTTATGGCTATTTAAATAATAGTGGCTTCAACTCAATTAGGCTTTCAAAATATATGTAATTACTTTTATATTAATAATAAAATGTGTATCCTTTTAAAAATAATAATAATAAAATGTGTAATTTATAATGTGTTTTTTATTAGAATTATTTTATCAAATTGATTATGTTTTATATTTTGTTATAAATATTTTTTTATTTTTCGCTATATTGTTTTTATTTTTCGCTCATATCTAACAATATTTATGGCTAACTCCAGATATGTAATTTATAATTATTTTTTATTAATAATAAGATGTGTAATTTATAATGTCTTTTCTATTAGAATTATTTTATCAAATTAACTATGTTTCATATTTTGTTATAAATATTTTTTTTTTGCTCATATCTAACAATATTTATGGCTAACTTTTTAACTATTTCATCTTTTTTAAGCTATCCCTTTTGTTTATGTTTTGTCCCCACTGAACAAAATTTCTGGATCCGCCACGGGCCTTTGATGAAATCTTTGTAGAAATTAGGGCATGAATTGAATTTACAAACACAATTACTTTGGTAGGGAATAGCTTGTGATGGATAATCCTGAGTAGGGTACCTAGTCAGGACGTAGCCGGTCGGTCAAAGCTCGCAATGTCACTAGAGTAAGGAGGAGTCCGGTACCGTGGCCCCTGTCCTGGGCTTGTGGACCATTCATTCGGCCTGGTTGAGGCAGTCAGGTGGAATTCCCAGCCAGATGCAATACTCAGAGGTGGTTATGAGAGATTTTCTGGAGATCTCTTTCAAATTTGGCGCGAAGTTTCCTTTTTCAACATTAGGAAAGAGGCATTGCAATTTGAGAAGCTTTCCTTAAGTTTAAATTTGTTAATTTCTTCTTTCTTTTCTTTCCAAAGCAAATAAGTCTTGTATAAATACCCCTAGGGGCACATTGTAAAGGATTCTAAATTAAATTCTTGTGCAACTACTTTGTAAACATTCTCTATTGATTATTTTCTCTTATTTTACGGTTGTGTACCCTGTGGCCATAAAATCAACAGCTTGAATTGAAACCTTTTTAAGAAAATTGCAAATTTTGTTCTTGAATTATTAAATAATTGTTATTTTTGTCCATAGTTCTTGCATGTACTCATATTTCGTCCTTAAGCTTTTATCTAGATTACTCTTTTCATCCCTAATTCATTTGCTAACTATTATTCCCATACGTAATTATTGTATTAAATGTTTAACAATTATCCAATAATTAGGGACGAAAAAATAAAGAGTTAATACCATCTGAGATCCTCCGAGTATAGTGGTTTTGTCACGTTTAGTCCTAAACTTTCAAATTGACCATCAGTGATCCTTCGACTTTCAAATTTAACCATTTGTGGTCAAAGTTAACCACCCATGGTCCTTTAAGTTTCGAAATTTAACCAGTGGTGGTCCTGTTGAAAGGACCATGGTTGGTTAAATTTTAATAGTTGAAGGACCATGGGTGGTTAACTTGGATCAGAATGGTTAAATTTGAAAGTCGAAGGGCCACATGTGGTCAATTTAAAAGTTTATGACTAAACGTGGCAAAACTACTATACTCGAAGGACCTCAAATGGTATTAACTCAAAAAATAAACAATTACCCAAGAATTAGGGATAAAAAAATACAACCTTAGGAGGAAATATGAGCATGGACAAGAATTAGTAACAAAAATAATAATATTGAGCATGGACACTGTATATTATTGCCTTATTGAGTTATTAGTAATTTAGTATCACCAAAAAACTTAAGCTATACTGATGATATAAAAATTAAAAGAAAATAGTGGGCAATATTAGCAATTTCTAAAAGTTGGGGTGGGGATTAGGGATAAACCGAAAAGGCTGTTTAGTCTAAGGCATTCACCACTCTCGTAGTCTCATCTCTCATCCACCCTCTGTTTCTTGGAAGCTCAACAACAATGGGGATTCTCTCTTGGTTTAAAGGCGGCAACAAACAAGCTTCTTCTTCTTCTTCGAACTCAACCTCAAAACCCGCCCCGAACCCGAAGCCCCAGATTTCTTCCCAGGCTGGGCAGGAGGCCCCAGGCATGAACGGAGCCATCGAGGTTTCCAGACCCCTTGACATCACCGTTTTCGAGTTCGGGTCGGTCGCCGCTTCCGTCGACAAGGTAACTCTCGCCGGCTACTGCCCGGTTTCCGAAGAGCTCGAGCCCTGCCGCTGGGAGATTCTTCCGGCCAGTGGCTCCGATGCCCCACAGTTTCGCGTCGTCTTTTGAGGGGAAATTAATTGAATTGAATTTTCCGGGGAAGTTTGTGAGGAGATTCCTGTGAGTTTGCTAAGTTTTTCTCTTGTTTTTGGTGTACCTTTATTGAACTTGATCTTTTAATTATAAAACTAAAAATCTTAAATTCAGTTCATAATTTCGTTATGCTTTTAGCTTCTTAAGTGTTTCTTTCTTTTTTAAAAGTTAATTTAGGAGATTAGATTTCTTCTTATTGAGAAATTTCAAAAGAAATGTGTGCTATGCTTTGTAATTTGGAGTTTGGCTATCAGGTTAGCTTAGTTATGCTTAATGTGGGCTGAAGAAGATTGAGGAATTGAAGGCTTTTATTCAATATTTATTAACATTTTCGGTCGAATGAAAAGCTTGGTATGTTAGATACTGTTATAAACTAACATAAATTGAAACAAACCTAAATCACGAGGAATCTGACCTCGTAACAGCTGAAGCTTTAGGATCATCTGAATATCTCTCACCATAGTTGTGGGTCTAAGTCTTGAGAAGGGCTGGGAAAGTGTTCGATAAATTGGCTTTAGTGTGAGAAAGAATGTGATCAATTTGACTGAGTTTCGATATGTGAAGTGATGGAAAGAAGTTACCTGTTTGAATCTCTCGGCTCCCTTTTATAGTAAGACCTTTGCACCACCATTTTTCTGCTAGCTGGAATAGTAATCATTTCCCCTTATCAGTCAATCTTAGCTTTCCCAGTTAACTTGGCTTTCCTTCGTTCTTAAGCCTTGGCCTCTGTAACTGGTTTGTGCCAAACAAGTTGAGCCGTCTTTCATCGTTTTCTTAATAATAGTGATATCTCCTTGCTTGGCCTTTATTAAATTCACCGAGCCTATTTGGTGTGGCCCAACGTTTAAAGATTATGCGCAAACTTCTTAAAGATTATTTTATGAAATACTCTGTAGGAGAGGCTTACTCGTATATTGAGAGGATGAAGCCACGCGTTTCCATAGCATTGTCCTAGAAAATTTGTAGTTAAGGGTTGTTGGGCGAAGGCCGGTGAAGGGCTAAGTCCAGTAATTGGTGACTAGGGGGATTGTTGAGCAGAGACCTGAAGGGTTGAGTGCCCAAGTCCAACACTATGCTTCTTGAAAATGTGGTGGTATATAAGGAAATAAAGTTGCGCCTTCGTTAACAACTATAGCTTTTGGTGTAGCCGTAAGCGCTTTATCCTAACAAGGGTAGTGAAGAACCGTAACTTCAGGTGTTGCTGTGGTGGTCTATGTTAGTGAAACTAAGAAATTTAATTTGCAATAGAACTTTCTCAGAAGCATAGCAGGGAGAACTGGTTATCATTTGAGTGCGCATAGAAAAGGTTAATGGTTACGAATGCTTTGAAGATCATCCTAGTAAATTTTGTAGTATTAAGGTTGTTGAAGAAATGAATTAGTGATAAACAGTTTATTGCTTAACAACCAGTCTCTGCTATCTGCTTTTTTCATGATAACTGTTGCCTGAAAGTGAAAGGAAAGGTTTTGTGTTCTTAAGGGTGCATTTGGATCACGAAATCTTATATTATCTCGAGAACATGAATGTTGTAATCTTATATGACCTTTGTTTGGTTCAAGGGATTGTGAGGAAACTTTGTTTTTAGTTCATTTTTGGGTGATATTCTAGGAATCACATTCCGTCCAAATTCTTAAGTTATGTGAGATTCTCGATACAGTATTTATGTTATGTTACATTACCTCATACATTTCTTGAACCGAACACCCCCTTATTATTATTATTATTATTATTATTTATTATTATTATTAGGGAAAATTGCATCTTTGTTTCTTCAGTTATACCCATGGTACAAACATAGTCATTGAGTTATATGTGTGACCATCTTTAATCCTTAAGTTAGAAGTGGCGATTTTAGTTTCTCATGGATTATTTTTACGATCAATTTTTCACTTAATAAAGTGGCTGATATGGTCCTTCAAGGACTAAAATCGCCACTCCGAGTGATTCAAATTTGTGTGAACAATCTGAAATGAGATCTCTGGAGCATCTACAGATTCTTTCATGCAATTGAATACAGATTTTATTACGAAGTATTATTTTTTTGAAGCCAAATCTTGGCCTCCTTATTGACATATATACTTATTGTGGGACTGATGAATATTTTATAGTTATGACCAAATTTTGGGGGAAAAAAAGTCAAATGCCTAATTAAAAAATGACATTTTTTAGTATATAAAAATGACACTACAGTTCACAAAGAATTGAATAATTATCTTGTGAGTAATAATAGCATGATACATCGAATTTCATATGAAAATTTTTGTGTTTATCGGACTATCGGAGTTATCCTCATTATCACTTTGGGGCATTTGGGTTGCAGAATGCTAGACATGTTTGTTTCAAGGTTATTTTTCATGCCCAATAATCATTTCACTTTAATACTCTCAATAATTACAACAAAATATATATATATATATATATATATATATATATATATATATATATATATATATATATATATATATATATATATATATATATATATATATATATATATATATATATATATATATATATAATTGGGAAAATGGCACTTTTTCCCCCTGTGTTATATGCTTATAGCACTTTTTCCCCCTGAGTTATTCATGCATTCACATTTGCCCCCTCAATTATTATAGAAGTGGCGATTTTTCTCCCTGATAATATTAAATGGACATTTCTACCCTTAAAACAAATATTTTATTTATTTCTCTTCTTCACCAAATTATTGCTTATACGTAGGGATGACCACGGTTCGGTTCGAACTGAACCAAACACTATAGCAATCAAATTAAAAAATTTCGGTTACGATTCATAACATAACCCAATATTTGGGTTTCCGTTTATTAAAATCGTGAACTGGAAAAAAATGGATCTTAAACCGTGAACCGGAGGTTCAAATCGGAACAACTACTAGCAATAGCTTAAATTAGAATTATAATATTTGCAAATAGTGTATGTTTTTTCCGCATTTATATTGACTCTTACATATAAGTAAATATAATCGCGATTTGAGTTTTATTTTGAACCGTCGGTTCACGATTTTGGATCCAATTTGAACGGTTGGTTCAAACTTTCTTTTAAAATTTTATTTTTTTATTTTTAAAATATTCTAAATTTAACACTTAATGTATTTTATTTTTTCAAATCGTGGTTATAATTTGTTGGAGAAGAAAAATAAATGAAATATTTATTTTAAGGATAAATATGTCCATTTAATATATCAGGGGGAAAAACTGCCACTTAAATAATTTAGGGGGAAAAAGTGCTATAAGTATATAACAAAGGGGGAAAAAGTGCCATTTTCCCTATATAATTTAAACCATCGATTTAGTAGATCTAACAGTTGAAAATAAAAAATAAAAAATGGGTGGGGTCGTTTTCATTAAAATTACAAATTTTGAAAGTTTATAATATTTATGAAAATTATTTCGTTTATTTTTTACTTGATTTCTTATCCATTAGATCTTGTAGATCAATGGTTTAGATTTGCCTACTGATTCTCACTTGGGGAGTGATTCTCATATGAATCGAATTTTTTCGACTCTCATGAGAACTATGTCATAAGAACTTGTAATAATCTAGTAGATTTAACCGTTGAAAAAAAAAAAAAAAAAAGGATGGATAATTTTCATAAATATTACTCTGTACAAATTTCAAAAGATTGTAATATTTATGTAAATGATCTTGCTCCTTTTTTACTTATTTTCTATTCATCAGATCTTGTAGATCAATAATTTGAATTTGTCCACATGTTCTCACTTGGACGTGCAGGCGTACGTATGCACGGGTATGTATGCATGCATGTATATAAGTATATTATAGTCATTGGCCTTGAAAGAGAATGTGCATATGTCAAACACGATCTAGTGATCCGATGACTAAAAATCTAAAATATTGTCTCGTATTTATGAGTGTTATGGAGACATTTGAGAAGGCCACATTTGCTTGTGACACAATGGTGTCGGCAATGAGATTATGAGAGAGTCGTTGTCTCCATTATTAATATCTTTCTACCAAAAATTATATCAACAATAAAGTCCAAAGAATTTTTTATTTATTATTTATTTTTTTTTTTTTTTATGTGAGAGATGTAAATTATATCAAGAATTAAGATTTATATTCAATTGTCTAAGGAATGGTGGAGTGGGGTATTTTCATATTATAAGACTATGAGTTTGATTCTTGTCAAAATTCTCTCACTCGAGCTTGTTGTACAAAAGTCAAACTATTACACAAGAGAGTTTCGTGTTATTCAAATAAGTATGTGATACAGAGAGAATAAAAAAATTAATTTGAAAAATAAAACTCCAAAAAAGATGTAAATTGTTTCAAGAATCAAAATTTATTCTTTTTAATGTAAGATTTATATTCAATTTAATGTAAGGAAAAAAGATAAGTGTCATCTCAAATAGTAAATGATTAATTATACATTCTTTTATTATTATTATTATTATTATTATTATTATTATTATGAAAAACATTGGTCGTTAACTTACGATTAATGTTGTAAAAATTACACTTGGGCAACGATTAGGTGGCGGCCAGCCGCCTAAAAATTCACTGAAATCGGTGATTTAGGCGGCCTAGTCAGCGGTTTGGCTGCCTAGCCGCCATGTTTTCTTTTTTTTTTTTTTTTTAAGGGTTAAATCACCCAAATCAAACGAAGAGCCAAAAAGTGAAAACATAACAAAATTGCATCATTGTCGTCTGTTCTCTCCGAGTCTCTGAAGTGAAATTGCCATATGATCTTCTCACGACCCTCCTCCCTACTTACCTGGAATTGCCGTCACTGCTGCATGCTCTCCGTCCCTAGTAAGTTTTCTATTGTCTGTCCTCCGAAAATAGTTAAATATAATGGTCGTTGTTTCTTAACTTAAAGAAATGACGTCGTTTTTAGACCATGGTCCACACAATTGTTTGGACTATGGTCAATCGTATAACAATTGAAAGTGCATGGTATAGTCTTCCGAAGTTGAGAAATCTGGGTTAATTATTTTTTTTTGAAGAGTCTTATAGTGAACTTAGGGGCAACCCCAACTAAGTTGGTAGAGTTGTTGATTTGATAACTATAAAGTTACAAGTTTTATATTCTTAATAAGAACAATAAAAAGTATAATTGATTTCACGCAACAAAAAAAAAAATAAAAATAAAAATTCCCCACATTTTATGGCGGACACCACTAGTCCACTACAAATATGTCAATATAGGTGAAATTAATAATAATAATAATAATAATAATAATAATAATAATAATACCAACAAAATAAAAAACAAGAGTCCAACGTCGGTGTCTCTCTCTCTCTTTCTCTCTCTCTGTGTTTGCATCTGGCTGGTATCAACTTTACACACTGTTCCCACAACATTCGATATAATCGTTTTTCCCCTAAATTTACTGCGCAAATCCCTTCATCACACCAAAAATTAAACTACCAAATTAGAGCCCTGATTGCTTTTTACACTGTTAATACTTCCCAAACACATAAAATAACTCACTCCCAACGACACCCAAATTATCCCTTTCTCTTTCTATATAATCTTGCATCAAAGGTGGTCCTTTTTCGCTCACCATTTATACCCCACTGGCCACTAGACTAGATGTACTACGGAAGGCCTCACTTCCCCTTCTGAATCTGTGAGTAAAAGCTTTGAGCTTTCACTTCAGATCAGCTCTTCTCAGCTGCCTACACTGTTGGGGTTTCTTGGAAAGCTCTGTCTTTTACTGGTAATGCTTCTTTTCCCACTTTCTCATCTTGATTTTGCAGTGATCCAGTCTGTCTCCCTCTAAATTGTGCCTTTTCTTCAACTGTTTTTGGTTTTAGATTTTCTGGATCAGTGAATATAGTTCTTGTTTGTCGGTTTGAGTTCTTGATATTCAGCATCTGAAGATCTGCATATATACAAATCCATGTTGCTTTGTGATGTAGCTGTTCCCAAAGGAAACAAATTTCTGAGTTATTTATTTAATCTTTACTATATTGGGTATGAACTTGTATTAGTAAAGAATCTAATAATGTCTTATTTGGGGAGTAGTTGAATGGATCCATCAACTAAAATGATAGGAGGAATCTTTGTTGGCTCTTGCTGAGTGTTTCCAATCTTTTTGTGGTTTGTTAGGATTTGTCTAAGGAATTCTTTAATAATAATAATAATAAAAACCTTTGGAATAAAGTGGAGGCTGAGGAAAAAATTTGAGCTTCATCCACATCAACATAAATATGAAGTTTTAGTCCACTTCTTGATCTTAGGGAAATCATGTTCATTCCGGCCTTTCCACTCGTAAAATATGATGATGTTCATGTCTAATTAGCTTTGAGATGAAAAGTGTCTATTTCATTGTAATGATTATATCCTCCAAACAATCCTACACATTTTGGAAGTCTTATGATGGCTATAGTCATTCTTATCAAGAGATAGTATAGTAGATCTCTCCACCAAAGGTCAAGGGTTCAATCCTTGGCTTCGGGTATGGAGCAACCTTAAATCTTCAGGTTAGTTGTCCCACCCAAAAGAGGTGCTTACAATCCAGCTAGGGGATTAGTCACTGTGTCTGACGGTGGAAACCCTGGGTACACCCAAAAAAGTATAGTAGATCTCTCCACTTTTTGGATATATCAGTATAATGTGATGTTTGTGTATTCCTTACAATTTGTTAGACAGTGAGACATGTTACTTCGTATTTCTTTCTGAACTTTTCTTATGTTACAGGAAATCTCTTGCTAATATCCAAGAGTCCAAGACGTATTATGGCCTCAAAGCATGCCCCTCCAAGTAATAAAGGGCGGCGACCCTTCTCGATATTCATCGTACTTTGTCTTTGTTGTTTCTTTTACCTGCTAGGAGTATGGCAGAAGAGTGGATCTGGGAAGGGAGATAGGTTAGCGCTAGCAGTGACTGAGAAAACGGCAGACTGCAATATATTCCCCGCAGCCACTCTGGATTTTGAACCACATCATACTTTTGTTTCGAGTATTGGCTCTTCTGAACCGAAGACCAAACAATACAAGTTTTGTGATGCTAAATATAAAGACTATACTCCTTGCCAAGAACAAGACCGAGCTATGACTTTCCCTCGGGAAAATATGGTATATAGAGAAAGGCATTGCCCGCCCGATAATGAAAAGCTTCGTTGTCTTATTCCAGCGCCTAATGGATATACGACTCCGTTCCCTTGGCCTAAAAGCCGTGATTATGTATATTATGCTAATGTTCCTTACAAACACTTGACGGTTGAGAAGGCGGTCCAAAACTGGGTACAGTACCAAGGTAACGTGTTCAAATTTCCGGGAGGAGGAACTATGTTTCCTAAAGGAGCAGATGCATATATCAATGAACTTGCATCTGTAATCCCGATGGGAAATGGGTCCATAAGAACAGCACTTGACACTGGTTGCGGGGTATGTCTTCTATTCTTTAGCTTCGAAATCATGTATCCCGAACATTTTGAATCTTGGGTGTTCCTTAATTACGTGTACTTCTACCGGTGTATTTTCATGGTTTCTGAATGTTGGTTGCACGCATCGTATTTAGGTAGCGAGCTGGGGAGCTTATTTGATGAAACGGAATATCTTAGCGATGTCATTTGCACCAAAAGACAATCATGAAGCGCAAGTTCAATTTGCATTGGAGCGAGGTGTGCCTGCTATCGTTGGTGTTCTTGGTTCGATACGCCTTCCCTACCCGTCAAATGCATTTGATATGGCACATTGCTCCCGGTGCCTGATTCCCTGGGCAGAAAATGGTATTTATTTCATTGGTTTCTTATTATCTTTCCCATTGCTTCTCTCCCTGACGCCATCCACTTTTCTTCTCTCTCCCTCTTATAGTGGCATCTGATTGAGATCTGTTAAGAGTCTCACATTGATAAAATAAGAGAGAATATATGAGTTTATAAGGCCATGAGTTAGACTAGCTAATTGGTTGGATTCAATCTGTTAGTGTAGTTTGGCCCATGTGCATTATAGCCCAATTGAGTGACCCTGATCCAATCTTAGATTATAATAACAAGATCTATGGTAGAGATCTCAGTTGCAATCAACTTTGGCATAGTGGCATTCATTCCACAATAGACATGTGAAGCAATTATAAGTTTAACTTTGGAAGCATTGTGAAGGAATGAAACCGAAGGACTAAAAGTTTTATCAATGGCCATTTATATTTTCACTAAGTTAAACCTTCCTATTTGTTTTAATTCAGTAATGGTTGACATCGCCAAATATTGTGTTGAAGATGGTCACTGATGATAATTTTGCTTTTTTTTAGATGGTATCTATCTGAAGGAAGTTGATCGAGTTCTAAGACCCGGTGGGTACTGGGTTCTATCTGGTCCTCCAATTAACTGGAAGACCTACTACCAAGTCTGGAAAAGGACCAAGGAGGATGTAAAAGCTGAGCAAACGAGGATTGAAGAGCTCGCCAAGAATCTTTGCTGGGAGAAGAAGTATGAAAAAGGTGATATTGCGATTTGGAGGAAGAGAATCAATCCAAACGCATGCAAGAGTAGGTCTACCAATATCTGCAAATCCAAAGACGCTGATGATGTTTGGTAAGCCAATATGCATACTACCGTTATTTTTTTTTTTTATTTAAATTTTAATTGACATTAACCAACTTGGTTGGCGTGAGTGGTCATGCACAACCTTGTCTCTTAAGAGAGGTCGGGAGTTTGAACCCCCTCTCGTATGGAAAAACCAATCTGGCCAGCACTTTTCCCCTAATGGGGATTAGTCTCAGTATGGTACGGGCTTAAAGGTGCCTCCTATAGTTAGGGCCTGCTCAGGATACCTCGTGGTCTGACCAAAAAAATAATAATAATTAATTAATTGACATTTAGTTTTGAAGCTCCCTTTTACGTTGTTCATTGTAAGCATATGAGATGGTGCTTTGACAATGCCGAATCTTTCAATGTTCTTGGTCACTTTTGAGGTTCAATGTTCTAACCTCTCAGTTGTGGATCATATTTTAAATGTGTTTCCTACTTTTACTCGACTATGATACTTAGGTATAAGAAATTGGAGGCATGCGTAACTCCCCTCCCCGAGGGCCAGAGTTCAGGTGGATGGGAGCTGAAGAAGTTTCCAACTAGGCTTTTCGCTGTTCCGCCTAGAATAACCAATGGATTGGTGCCGGGGGTCACAGCCGAGTCATATCAAGAGGACAATAAACTTTGGAAGAAACACGTAAATGGCTACAAAAGGAGCGTTAGTCTGCTCGGCAGCACAAGATATCATAACATAATGGATATGAATGCAGGCCTCGGAGGCTTCGCTGCGGCATTGGACTCACCGAAACTGTGGGTGATGAATGTTGTGCCAAATATTGCGGAAAATACTTTAGGTGTCATCTACGAAAGAGGGTTGATTGGCATATATCACGATTGGTATGTCCTGTTAGTCTTTCGTTTCTGCTCTAATTTGATTCCTAGTGATTCGGTACTAAGGGTTTTTTTGAAATTACGGTAAATTTTGAAATCTTTTGCCCTTCAGGTGTGAAGGCTTCTCGACTTACCCAAGGACATATGACCTCATTCATGCCAATGGCGTTTTCACCTTGTACCAGGACAAGTAAGAATATCGTGATTTTCTTTTTCTATGTTTTAAATATCAGGAAAAAGTTTAGTTCATTCTTGAATCGTTTGCCTAAAACAAGAAAACAAAAAAAAAAAAAAAAAGTAGACGTTTGAACCTGTTGTTTAGGTTTTCCTTTCGGAACACTTCAACAGTGGACTTAACATGTTGTATGCAGGTGTGAATTCGAAGACATTCTTCTGGAAATGGACCGCATTTTGCGGCCAGAAGGATCGGTGATCTTCAGAGATGGAGTTGAAGTATTGAACAAGGTTAGGAAGATTGCTCAAGGCATGAAATGGGATCTGAAGTTGACGGATCACGAAGACGGGCCGTTAGTGCCCGAGAAGATTCTGGTCGCCGTCAAACAGTACCATTCAGCAGACGAGAGCAGCAAATCCGACGACGAGTGAAAACAACCACCACCACGCTGGATAGATGAAGAAGGTAAGCACGCAAGAACTTTGCCCCGCAAAAACTTTAGCTCGCGGGATCAAATTTACAGGAATGTTGTGCAACTTTTTATGTAGAACAAGTTTAGTCTCATTCTATAATTTTTTTTTTCCAAGTTTTTGTTTAAGGAACACGAAAATTTCATATGTAGCTTCTCCAAATAATGGACTGTAAGATTATGATATGTGTAGTGTTAAGGTAGTTAAAAAAGTCTGATATTTATTGTTTTGCTGCCACAATCTTTTGCACAATAGCATTATTTATTTGGGTGCACAACACCACGCTGGATAGATGAAGAAGGTAAGCACGCAAGAACTCTAAGGTCTTGTCAAAACAGATACAAATAAGAACTTGTGATTTATAGGATCTTTCGAGTTTAAATATCTCAAAAAGCTGTCAAAGACCTTGTGTTCAAGCTGCCAAATAAGAATTAAGGTCTTGTCAAATGAGATACAAAATGGATAGCGTATGTGAAAGGAAAATACTACATGGACTCCCCTTTTACTTTGATTCTGCTGATATATATGAGTTGGCTCAGTTGGGGGCGAGAAACCAAATAAGAACTTGTGATTGTAGGATCTTTCGAGTTTGAATATCTCAAAAAGCTAGTTGTATAGTGATCACGAGTTTTCTTCATGGCTTTAAGAGTTGTTCTGTATTTATCAAGAATTTTATTTTTACTCTTGACACCTTATATATAAATCACGGTAACTTAATGACTTGGCAGATAGGGCCAGCAAAGGGATCTGTCCACTTTGGACATCACCCCCACGCTGTCGAGATTCGAACATTGATCTCTTTTTTTCAGATACTGTTGACTGAATCAATGAGATAAGCCCATGCGAGTTAAATTTTTATTTTTTTGTAGATAGTGTGTCATCAATCAAAATTTTATCCAAAATTTGAGATTAGAATTATCGGAATGACAATTCAATCCAAATCTGGTGGGAAATTTAGTCCCTGTCTTGATCTGAACTCTGCATTCTAAATTTAAATTTTGGAATAAGGGTCGAATAGGTCATCGAATTACACACAAAAATATAATTAGGTAATTGAACTAAAAAAAGATGCAATTGAATCCCTAAACAACGTAAAATGATACAATTGAACCAAATATGACTTGTTTACCTGTTAATTTGGTAGCTTGCTGACGTGGAGATCATCATATTAAAATAATAATTTTATTTTATTTTTAATAATTTTAAATAACAAAATTATATATATAAACAATGCTTCGTCTCAGGGAGCCTGGTGATAAAGAAGGTTCTTCATCCCCGGTCGGAGACAAAGGGACCTCTTCGTCTCTCCAGGCTGCTGGAGATGAAGCCCTTGTTTGTTTGTTTGTTTATTCATTTTTATTTAATTTTGTGATTTAAAATTATTAAAATAAAATAAAAAATTAATATTTTAATATAATAACCTCCATGTCAGCAAAATAACAGGTAAACAAGTCACTTTTGATTTAATTGTATCATTTTGTGTTGCGACAAATTATGCTGTGGAACCGTGTCCACCTTGCAAGGTGGACTCGGTCCAAAACTGTTCATAATTATGAATATATAGTTCAAAAATTATGAACATATAGTTCTATAATTATGAACATAGAGTTGTAAACATAATTATGAATATATACTTCTGTAATTATGAATATAGAAATTCAATAATCAATAATTGTGAATATGAAGTTCAAAAATTATGAATATATAGCTTTATAATTATGAACATATAGTTAAGTAATTATGAGCATAGAGTTATGTAATTGTGAATATAGAGTTCAATAATTATGAATATGAAGTTCAAAAATTATGGATATATAGCTTTATAATTATGAACATATAGTTCAGTAATTATGAATATAGTGTCCACCTTGCAAGATGGACACGGTTCCACAACATAAGATTGGTTGTTTAGGGACCCAATTGCATATTTTTTTAGTTCAATGGCCTAATTACATTTTCGTATGTGATTCAGTGGCCTATTTGACTCTTATTCTCTAAATTTTTGAGTTATATATTATATTTTATACTTGGTGTATTTGAAATAATCGGATGTTTTATGTATTGTTGTGGTGTATTTTAAGTTCTATTATTATTATTATTATTATTATTATTATTATTATTATTATTATTATTATTATTATTATTATTATTATTATTATTATTATTATTATTGTTGTTGTTGTTGTTGTTGTTATTGTTATTGTTATTGTTATTGTTATTGTTATTGTTATTGTTATTGTTATTGTTATTATTATTATTATTATTATTATTATTATTATTATTTTTTTTTTTTTTGTGAATATCTAATCTAATCTAACTCTATAATAAAGCAAGAAGTTTTTGGCAATTCGTTTTCCCGCCCAATTGATACTACGCCGTTTTGCTTTAGGCATATTTAGCGATCGAACAGATTATTTATTCTGCGCGTGTAATGTGATTACGCATTGGGAATATGCCTAGCCGTTTTCAAAAGGCAACTATTCGTATTAAATTATCATACAATCCTTGGTTCCCAAGGAGTTCAATTAATGTAGAACTCTTGGTAGTGTAAACAAAATGATTAATATCAAAGCATAATGAAGGCATCCGGCCTACATGTTCGGAGATGCATGCAGTAAAATAACAAGAAAAAATTATATATATTACAGGGAATATACAGAGTTGAAATCTGCAAATACACATTCAATGAGATGTGCAATTTCCAAAACATTGGCTGCTGGTCTCTTGGTTTATTTGAATTTTCAATCTGTATAAATACCCGGCTTCTTCATGCCAAAACCCTTCACAAATTCAGTTCACTTTACTACCTTTTCGAAATATTGTTGGTGTTTCAAGATGCCTTCCATGTTCATTGCTGTCAAAAACATAAAGCCGGAACACCAGCTCAGGGCAATCAGGGTGAGAGCAGTACGGGTCTATGAAGTGCCTGAGAAAAGGGGAGAGGGGCAAGCCAGTAAGAGCATGGAAGTATTGTTCCATGATGAAGAGGTACTATTTTTTATTTGCAAAAAATCATATTCATGCTATCTACTAATCTAATGGTCTTTCAATGTGTATAAATGTTTTTTTTTTTTTTTTTATTGCCAGGGAGACTACATTCATGCCATGCTATCTACTAATCTAATGGTCTTTCAATGTGTATAAATGTTTTTTTTTATTGCCAGGGAGACTACATTCATGCCATGCTATCTACTAATCTAATGGTCTTTGGCTGTGTATAATTTTTTTTCTATTTTATTCGCAGGGAGACTACATTCATGCGAGTATTATTGAAAAAGACATTGGAAAGTATAGAGATATAATAAAAGAAGGGAAAGTCTTTGAAATCAAGAACTTCATGGCTTCTACAAACTACTATGTCTACAAGATTACAGAACAGACTTCCTGATCAAATTCAACTATAGAACACAAGTGAAGGAGATACATTCTAATGGCTTTCCTTGCAAAATGTTTCAACTAAAGAGTTTTTTGGCTTTGAAAGATCCTGCTGATGTGAATGACAAGGAACTGATTGGTACTAACTTTACTTTTTTTAACTGCGAATATCTTCCTTACTCTATTTTCAGTAATTTTTTCTAATATTTAGTTAATTTGACAGATGTGGTTGGAAGGGTCATTGAGATTTACAATCCTGTGGACAAGATTATAGGGGGAAAGGCAACCAAACTAATCGACTTTCAAATTGAAGACAATGCGTAAGTTTTTGAAAATGAACTTTGATTACATTAGAAACTGATGATGTGGTTTTTTTCTGTAATACTTTTTTTTTTTTTTTCTGTTTGGAATCCAGTGACAACACCCTGACGTGTACACTTTGGAATGAACATGTATCTTCCCTTATGCCTTATTACAATAGTGATTCGAAAGAACCACTGATTGTAGTCATTCAATGCTGTAGGGCTAAAGTTGTTAGTGGTGAGTATCTCTATAGTTTTCTGTCTAATATCTATTAATCAATCTAGCTTTTTACTTTTAGTATGGATTGATTAAACACATGATCCTCTATTTTCTATAAACAGAGTATCTATAAACAACAGTATATCTATTTGTATACATTTTTTTTTTTAAGGTGAGGTGAGAATAACCAGTTCATATGATGCTACGAAGCTTTGGTTCAATGAGGATTTTGAGGAATTTGAAGAGTTTAAGTTAAAGTAAGTTCATCTTTTTTATTTGTCTTATTTGTTAGATTCATCTGTATTAATGTATGCTCTATTGTGTACTTAAGATTTTGGAAAAACAAAATCTCTTATTTTAAATGCTGTCTACTGTGTTCTAGAAAAAAAACATAGTATAGAAAATTCTATATTTACTGTGATCTAATTTATTAGCATGTTGTACACTGTATATATATTTTAGTAGCATGCTATACACTGTATGCATTTTTTCAAATTTAGCAAACTACTAATCAAAAAATAAGATAGCTATTTTAAATGTTGTCTACTGTATTGTAGATAGGTTGTTTAAACACATATGTTTTTGCTTTTAGTCAACTGCAAGTATGTGCATCCAGATAGTATAAAAGTTTCTAATATTTATGAAGGTTGAAAGCTGAGAGTACTCCAATGAGAAGTCTTAGTACTGGCACCCTACATTCAAACTCTACAGGCATTAGTGAGTTTAAGAATGCTTCTGTTATTGTAACTAACTGCCATGATCTTAAGAAGGTTAAAGAGGTAATCCACACACTTAGCTAGCAATTCTTACTTTTATTTTATGTAACTGATTTGGTTAATTGCTATATCTGCTTATAAAATAATGTGTATACTATAGGATGGGGAATACTATGTGGCTGCTGAGATTTTGGGGTTAGATTTTGAGGATGGTTGGTACTACTTATCATGCCTGAAACCTGGATGTAATAAGAAACTAAAAGAACAGGAAGGATCACTGCTTTGTACTAAGTGTAAAAAGGCTTGTATGATGGGTATAGTTAGATATAAAGTTGTTGTAATTGCTCTTGACAAATCTGGAGATGCTCCAATGTTGCTTTGGGATAGAGAAGTGGCAGAACTTGTGGGTATTCCTGCTTCGATTTTGTATGCAAAATACAAGGAGGTAAATTCTTCTAATTGGCTCTACAAAATTTTTTCTATACTGTTTATTCTAGGTTTGTACTTAGGTTATTTATCACCTACCTAAACAGGTTGATGTTGAAGTGCCACCTGAGTTGGATGCTATAGTTGGAATGAAGATGCTGTTTAAGATCAATTTTAAACTGGCTCTAAAGATGGGTCCCAATTACCCATTCAATGTTGTGAGGGTTGTTAGGGATGAACACTTGCTGAAAACCTATAGTGACAGGTTTGTGGAGCATCAAGACCAGGACTTAATGTCTAGGATGATTGAGGAGGAAACTAACACCGATGCAATTTCTGAAGTAAGAATTTCAAACCCTAAGCTCTATAATGTTTTTTTTTATAATTATGATGGTGACTAATTTGGTTTAATCCTTTTGTTAATAACAGGAAGACTCTATTGGAGTTGAAGTGAATAGTCCTGCCTCTGTCCAGCCCTCACAAAAGGAAGGAGATGACAGTGCTTACAACTTTGGAGCTATTAAAAGGTCACTTTTGGATGAGTTTTCATCATCCAAAAGTAGGAAGAAGTTGAAGGACTCAGAGATCAAAAAGGAAAAAATGTAATTCGATTCATGGTTGAAACTGATTGTTGTGAACCTGATACTATCCAGACATATTGACTCTTTTGATCCTAATCCTGTGGTGTGATAATTATTAAACTTTAGTTTTTGGGATATTTTCTAAGTTTTAATTAATGTTTTGATGAGATTGCCTAACTGTTTATTACAATACATTGGTGCATTACTGCTATTAGAACCTGTTTTGCAGTTTTTCTAATTTTCATTTCAGGTGATTGAAAACAAGGATGATCGAGGGCCAAGGTTTTAAAATGGAGACACAAGGGACAAAATTTGACAAGGAACTGAGACTTTGTAGATGTAGTTTTGTATAGGTTCCATTAGATATTAAACTTCTCCTATAAAAGAGTATATATGTAAGTTACTAAGAATATTTAATCATGACAATTATTTGCAACAAATATTTCAATTCTAAACTCTTATAACTAAATACCTTGTGCCTAAAAAATAAAGATAGTTTTACTCACCTATTTGCAAAATCTTATTTTACTCTGTTTGCAACTCTCCAATGCACTTTATGTCCATGCTGGTATCCACCAAAATTTGCTAGCACATTTAAAAAGAAAGTAATACCAGTTGCTAAATGCAATCTTTGTAATATAAAATTAACAAATTATTAAGAGTTACTAAAATTTTTATTTTCCTGTGATATACAATAAAACAGTAAATTTGGGAGTACCCAATTTGAGAGTACCCAATAAAACAGTAATGCAACTAAGTAAAACAATATTTGAATTCAGTCAAAAGTGTTCAAGTTTTGAGAATGTGGGAAATTTTATTCAGAAACTAAGTACTAATCTTAGGTTAAGCTTCAAAAGAATCCTTATTGAGAAACTAAGTACTAATCTTAGGTTAAGCTTCAAAAGAATCCTTATTGAGAAACTAAGTACTAATCTTAGGTTAGTGCTTGATTCTTAATCTACCAAAGCTATTGCTTCCAATAAAACACAGTAAAAGAACATTATAACACAGTAAAAGAACATTATAACAGTTTGAACCAAAGACAAAAAATCAAATAGTTAATTATCATTACTGTGTTAACTCAACCACGGAGAATCTCCTTTAATTAGAAAAATACTTTGATTCTACACCAATCTTTAATCTGCTGTGATATAGAATAAAACAATGCACCTAAGTCAAAAAAAAAAAAAAAAAAAAAAAACTGAAAACAGTACAAAGTTTTTAAGTTTTGTAAATGTGGTACAATTTAAATGAGAAAGTAGGTACTATTCTTAGGTCAAGCTTCAGAAAATACTTATCTATCTAAATAGTTTAATTACTCTACCAAAGCCCTTAATTGTTCTATACAATGAATTATATAGAACAATTAACTACACTAACTAATGCAAATGGGATTAAGTAAACGAAATTGCATCCACCAAAAATTACTTTAGTAGCTTATAATAGTTTGAAAATCTTAATGGATACTGTAAGGAACTAGAAGAATGCAAATAAACCAAGAATCTCAAAAACTATTGGATTCCTGGGATAATCATCCAACAATCAAAGACACTACAAATAAAAAAAAGATGAACTGGGTCTATACTTGAGGACAATTTGTTAAAAAATTCTGTTTAATTCAAAGTGTCTATTGCCTTACAAAGTAAAATGAACAAACTTACAAACTATGCAAGTATATGCATACAAACTAATCTAAAGTCAGGAAAATAAAGATAAAATCTTAACCTATTTGCTTAGATGACCATACTGCTTTTAGTTGTCTTTGATTGATGGCTTATTTTCTGCTTGCTGCTCTTCAATTACTCCGGAGTTTGGATTATTTCATTCTCAAAAGAATAAGAAAAAAAAAACAGGTTAGAAATTGTGTTCCGAATATTAAAGAACAACACCAAGAGGAAAAGGATACACTGGCATAACAAAGAATTGCAGAGTATTAGAAGCAAAGAATCAATGTGTTCAATATTCTTACAACTTATCTACAGAAATTGAATACAATGGAATTATTGGGCTGTGAAGTAAAAGTTAATCATTCTTAGGTAAAGAAACACATTCTTTAGATATTAAATATAATTGATGGCCAACTATCATTACTATTAGGGTGTGTTTGGAAACCCGGAAAATGACTTCTGGAAGTCATTTTCCGGGTTTTTGGTGTTTGGCTACATTGGAAAATGACTGGTCAAAGGAAAATGAGGAGAAGTCAATGGAAAAGGAAGGCAATTTTCTGGAAAATGACTTCCCCTTTTTTGTGGGGGAAGTCATTTTCCTTCCATTCACGCAGACTTCTTTTCTTCCCGTTTTCAACAGAGCTCTGCCTCCTCTTCAACATTTGCAATACAACTCACCAACACTTCCTCCTCCATCAATCCATAATCACAAAAGCTTCAACAACACTAGAAAAGCTATTGAGGTATATCTCATCTCTACACACCCTGAATTTTTTTTTTCTATGGATTTTACAGATCTATTTTCTGAGTTTTTTTTTTTTTTCTTCACTGGTTTCCCCGCCGGAAACCCACTGATTTCCGGCGGGGAAACCAGTGCCTCTGGTTTCGCATCGGAAACCATTTCTGGTTTCCGATGCGAAACCAGCTCACTGGTTTCCCCGCCGGAAACCAGTGGGTTTCCGGCGGGGAAACCAGTGAAGAAAAAAAAAAAAACTCAAAACTTGTATGATTTGATTGCTATACTAGTAGATTTGATGCCAGTAGATTTGATTGCCAGTAGATTTGATTTGATTATACATGATCTTAAACATAGCTATTCTAACTTTGAGATGGATGGTTTCATTGAACACATACAGTATATTTGATTATACATGATCTTGAAGAACTTGTATATTGGTTGCTGCTTATAATACACTTTGGTTGCTGCTTATTTGGTTTATTGATTTTGATCACTAATTATTGTGTGGTTATGACCTATGTGTTAGTTTTAATTATGGTTATTTGTTATCATTTTTTTTTTTGTGTATAGATGGATAGAAATCATGTGCGTGCAACTGTTGTGGGTGCAGCAAGTGCTATACTAGCTATGGGAGTTCTTCTATTACAACAACTTAGGAATAGAAACCAAATAGAACATGACATTGTCAATAGAGATGATGAGCGAGAGAGTTACATAAATAGTATCTTGTGTGAGGGTGATAACAAATGCATTAGCGTTATTAGAATGCGACCTATTTCCTTTTATAAATTGTGTGACCTTCTTGCTACTAAGAACTTATTACGCACAACTAGAGCCGTAAGTATTAAGGAACAAGTTTTAATATTTTTACATATAATAGGTCACAATGTACGCTTTCGAGTAATTGGATCAAGGTATTATAGGTCAATTGAGACAATTCACCGTTACTTTAGAAGTGTTTTGAGAGCCATTTTATCTTTGTATACGAACCTCATAGTATTACCGGACGGTGAAGTAACTCCTCATGAAATCATTAGCAATCCGTGATTTTATCCCTATTTCAAAGATTGTTTAGGAGCAATAGATGGAACCCATATTCGTGCATCCGTGCCAATTAATATGCAAGGAAGTTTTTGCGGACGTAAGGGTGGAACAACACAAAATGTATTTGCTGCCGTCACTTTTGATTTGCGATTTTGTTATGTGCTAGCTGGGTGGGAAGGTAGTGCACATGATTCTCGAGTCTTGAACGATGCACTCACACGTCCAAATAAATTTAAAATTCCAGAAGGTATAAAATAAAATTGTGTAATCACTTTTTACATTGTGTTGTTTGTTATTGCATATAAGTAATCAAATTATGTAAACTTGTAGGGAAATATTATCTTGGTGATGCTGGATATGGCATACGGAATGGAATACTTACTCCATACCGTGGTGTTAGATACCATTTGAAAGAGTTTAGTGCTCATCGTCCTGAGAATAAGAAAGAACTTCTCAATCTTCGTCATTCGTCCTTACGTACATCTATTGAGAGAGTGTTTGGAATTTTGAAGAAACGGTTCTGTGTGTTAGATGCTGAACCTTTTTGGGATTACCAGACACAAGTGGATATAGTTTTAGCTTGTTGTATAATTCATAACCATATTATGGGAGTTGATCCTAATGATGAGCTTAATCAAGCAACAGTTGATGACGATAACTTGTTGCCCTTATCTCATACGCAAACAGAAGAAAGACAAGAAGTTAGACAATGGAATGCAAAGAGAGATGAGATCGCAGAACAAATGTGGAATGAATTTCTTATTAGGAACTAGTGTCTAGTTTCATATATTTGAGTATGCTTTGTTATTGGATATTATTAGTTACGTTGTTGAACATTTCTTATTGTTGTGTACTTGATTATGCTTTGTTATTGGATATTATTATATGGACATGAGTATGCTTTGTTAATGGATATTATGTTTCATTGGTTGACGTTGGTTGTTATTGTTTTTATGTTATTATAGAAACATGAATAAGGAAAAGGGAATTGCCACTTCTAGACAATTTCGGTGGACAAAGCCAATGGAGGGCGTATTTTTAAAGATATTAGCTGAAGAGGCTATGAATCCCAATAATCCAACTAACAATTTTAGAACATCTTCATTCAATCGTGTTGCATCTACCATATCTGAAAAATTTAATGTTGCATGTGAAGTCAAACATGTTGAGAATCACTTGAAAACAGTGAAGAACACATGGATGATGATATGCAAGCTGAAGGGGATGAGTGGTCTTGGATGGGATGATAACTTGAAAATGATTACATGTGATGAAGCCCCGTATATTGAGCTTATCACGGTAATATTTTATTATCATAATTTGACTATTGCATAAATCTAATGTTTTTTTATTAGAAAATATCTCATGTTTATTATTTATTTATAGGCAACTCCCAAGTATGAAACATTGTTGAACAGGAAGATTGACTACTACGATGAGATGTCCATTGTCGCTGGCAGAGATTGTGCCATAGGACGTTTTGCAAAATCTTTTGCAGATGTTACTTTAGATGGCCCTCATGATGAGATGTTGCCGGATAACAATGATGAAACCCTGCTTGAAGGAAATGATGAAGAAAGTAAGGGAAGAACATCTGCATCAACTGCGTCGTCTCAAAGATCCGGTCGTAAGCGAAAGTCACTTGACTTGAAGGTCGATGAAATTACTGAACAACTTGGTAGCATTGCCGCAACAATTAAATCTTTGAATACTAGCATTGATGAAAATCAGTTGTTTGCGGATGTGATGAGCATAGGTGATGGCTTTCATGAGGATGACCTATGTAAGGCATTTGAATACTTGA